TGCCATCCCCTGCTGGCCTGCTCGCCCCCAAATGCCCTCCTCTCTCTGCTGGCCTGATCGTCCCCAACTGCCCTCCCTTGCTGGCGTGATCACCCCTAACCGCCTTTGCCTTGGCCCCGCCACCATGGCTTTGTCCAGAAGGTCTCCCAATCTAATTATCATATTACCCTTTTATTAGTATAGATGGAGCCACCATCAACCCAGATGCTTAATTCAAAAAACTCAAAAGTCCTTTCCCCCCCCCTCACTCCCACTTCTATCAAGTTATCAAATGCTGTCTATTCTACCTCTGCAATATATCTCAAATCAGTCTGCTTCTCTTCATTCCACTATCACTATTAGTATCTCTTGTCTAGACTCCAATAGCCTCCCAGTTGGTGCCTCCACTACACTCGGGCCTCCTTTTATAACTCTGTCCTCCATGAAAAAGCCAAAGTGATCTCTATTAAAGATCAACTGAGACCATACTACAACCCTATTTAAAAATCTTTCAACTGCTAACATACACTCCTAACAGACCTATAAGATAAACAGTACCTGGATTTCTCCAACCTTATTTCATTCCATTCTCCCTCTTGTTCCTTAAACTCTAAATCAAACTGGCCTTCCTTTTTATCTTGAAACCCTGGAGCCATTTTACTGTTCCCACTACCTGGAATGCTCTTCATCCAGATATTCACAAACTGGCTTATTCTCATCTTCTAGAAGAAATCTCAGATCAAATGTCACCTCCTCAAAAAGGCCTTCTTGAACACCCATCCCTGACAACATTCAAGTCACTCTGTCACCCCACCCTGCTTATGTCCTACAAAGCCTTTCTCAACATTTAAAAAAATTATGTCTACTTATTACATTACTTGGTTATTGTTTCTTCTCATTAGCATATAAACTCCATTGTGGCAGAGATGGTATCAATCTTCCTTAAAAAAAACATTTTATTGATTTCAGAGAGGAAGGGAGAGGGAGAGAGAGATAGAAACATCAATGATGAAAGAAAATTATCAACCGGTTGCCACCTGCACACCCCACACTGGGGATTAAGCCTGCAATCCGTGCATGTGCCCTGACCGGAAACCGAACTGCGACCACTTAGTTCATAGGTCGATGCTCAACCACTGAACCATGCCAGCCAGGCAGTATCTGTCTTCTTAATCACTGTATCCCTAGTGCCAGAAGCACAGTGGACAATAAATAAATAAATATGTATTAAATGAATAAACAAAGAAACAAATAGCTATTAATTCAAAGGTAATTTATGATTAGAAAGCCTAGAACTTCAGAATTTCCTGAAATGTAGGCTCTAAAAATATTCAAAATATATTTCAACTCAAAAATTGAGCTGCAGCCCAGCTGGTGTGGCTCAATGATTGAGCCAACTCATGAACCAAGAGGTCAGTGGTTCGATTCCCTGTCAGGGCACATGCTGGGGTTGCAGGCTCAATATTCAGTATGGGGCGTGCAGAAGGCAGCTGATCGATGTTTCTCCCTCTCCCTTTTCTCTAAAATCAATAAAAACCATTAAAAAATCAATACAAACATTAAAAAAATAGAATCTCATTTAAGAAAAAAAGTGAGCTGTGCTCTTTGATACTGAGAACTGATTGGTCAAATTAAATTCACTGAATTACTTATAAAAATTTGGCTAATTTGAAATATTTACAATGTGATGATTCAGTAAAACTGTCAGAATTCAATTATACTAACATGGTACCAGAGATTATTTTTTCCACCTCAAAAGTAAGATACTTAGTGAGCCATTAGCTGGTGATAATCAGGGCTCAAAAAGCACTCTTTTCAAAGAAAGATTGGCATTAAAGCCTCGTTATTTTCAGAACCATACAGAAACATCATCAATTACAAAAATGGGAGTTTCACCTTCTGCTACATGTGCTCTGTGCCACTAGAATTTCTCCTTTCAGAACCAACCTACCTTAAACATTTTAAAAACCATTTTCTGATTTAAAGGAATATATCAATTCCTAATCACCCAAAACAACTTTGCTTATCTATGTCCAACTTGATAATATTTACTACTTCAGAGACTGAGTCTTATAAGACACACACACACTTGAAAAGAAAAAAAAAGAATTGACTTATGAAAAGCAATTCTGCTCTATGATTCATTACATGCTTTTCCAAATAAGAACTGGATGCAAGTGTTGAAGGGGTATGGAGAAATTGACACCCATTCATTGTTAGCAATAATGTAAACTGGTATAACTTCTACTGAAAGCAATTTGACAATACCTAATAAAATTAAAAAGATATACCCTTTTAAAAAAATCCTCACCCAAGGACATTCTTATTTTTTAAAATATGTTTTTATTTATTTTACAGAGAAGGGGATGGAGAGGGCTAGAGAGATAGAAACATCGATTGGCTGCCTCCTGCATGCCACCTAGGGGGACTGAGCCCACAACTCAGACATGTGCCCTGACTGGGAATTGAACTGGTGACCTCTTGGTTCATAGGTTGATGCTCAACCACTGAGCCTCCCCATCTAAGCAGGATATTCATATTGATTTTAGAGAGAGAGGAAGGTGGGGGGAGGAGATGGGGGGGAGAGAGAGAGAGAGAGAGAGAGAGAGAGAGAGAGAGAAAGAAAGGAAGAAAGTGATGCGAGAGAGAATAGAGAACATCGATTGTTTGCCTTCTGTACATGCCCCAACTAGGGATTGAACCCACAACCATTCAGTATACAGGATGACTCTCCAACCAACTGAGCCACACTGGCCAGGACAAAAGATATACCCTTTTAAAAGCAATTCCACTTGGAGCAATTTTATCCAACAGACACACCTACATATGTTTGAAATGATGCATATAGTTTAAGAACATTCACTGAAGTATAATTTAATAACAAGGTTAAGAAACAACTTAAACGCTCAACTTATAAGTTATATATTTAACTTATGTTAGATCCATACAATGAAATACTACAGAGACATCACAAAGAATGAGGAAGCCCTTTATGTACAAATATGAAACAAAAGCCAAGATATTAAATAAAAAAATCAAGAAGCAGAAAAGTATAGTGTAATGTTGAAAAATATAATTTACAAAGAAATGTATAATACGATTCTAGAAGGATATTCAAGAAACTGAGAGTGGTTGTTTCTTCATAAAAGTGTCCAGACAAAGACATCACAAGGAAAAATCAATATCCCTGATCCTCCACAAGTACTGGGAAACCAAATCTGGCAACATGTAAAGGGATCGTTCTCCATAACCACGCGAGATTTATCCCAGGAATGTAGCGTTGGTTAAACATCTGAACATCAATTAATGGAATATACCATGTCAACAGAATAAAAGGCAAAAACCCACATAATCATGTTTGTAGAAGTAGAAAAAGCCTTTCACAAAATCTAACACCCCTTTCATGATAAAAAACATTCAACAAACTAAAACTGGAAGGGTAACCTCATGAAGGCATCCATGGAAACCCCTAACATCATACTGGCAAAAATCTGTTTTCCCCATGACCAAGAAAAAAAATAAACCTGTCCATTCTTGCCACTTTTCTTCAACATTCATTGTACCTGAGGCTGTAGGGAATGCAATTAGGCAAGAAAAAAAAGGCATCCAGATTTTAAAGGAGGAAATAAAATCATCTGTTTGCGGGAAACCCTGAAGAATCCAATGAAAAGCTATAAAGACTAATAAATAAGTTCAACAAAGTTTCAGGATATAAGATCAATATTCACAAGGCAATTAATTGCATTTCTATATAGCAGCAATAAGCAATTGAAAATGAAATGAATAAAACAATTTCATTTATAATAACATCAAAAATAAAATACTTAGGAATCCAAAAGTAAAACATAAATTGAAAACTATAAAAAAAACTAAAGAGGACCTAAATAAATGGAAAGACATAATATGTTCATAGATTAGAAGATATAACATCGTTAAGATGGCAATAGTATAACAAATTGATCTACAGAGCTTACCACAATATCCAAAATTTAGCTGGTACTCAAAAAAAGAATGATTAAACATGTTTTGCAATTCAGACACAATAAATTTATGGCATTTTCTATTCCTGCCATCATGGTATTCTCTATAAAATCTAAAAATCTTTTAACTATCCTTACCTTTAGCAAAAAGGAAATAGCATAACTCAATAGAGCAGGGTGATGGACTAAATTTAAACTGGTTTTATACTTTGCTACTCCAATCATTTTAAAGACTTCGGGATCAAAATACGATCCTTTCTGGAAGGGTTTGGATGTCCACAGGCAACCAACCATGGCTGTTAAATAGTGATTATATTCTTGATAGGTCTTGCTGCTGAATATGAACTCTGATTTTTTCTATTGGGAAAGAAAAAAAAAGTGTCATCATCACCTATTCTCCCTTCCCTTCTTATTCCCAGCAGATCATATACCAGTATATCTACACTCAATTTTTAAACAATGGTGACTTAACAGAGGTTTATCATGCATACCTTTAGTATCAACTCATTTTTCTTTGCAGCTGTCAAATTATTACGGTATCTAAAAGGATGAACAAATGGAATGAAATGCTTAACATTAAATGCCTTTGAAATGTAAACATACAAGTGTACATTTTAAAAAAATCTTTTTTAATATATATTTTTATTAATTTCAGAGAGGAAGAGAGTGGGAGAGAGAGAGAGAGAGACATCAATTATGAGAGAGAATCATCGATTGGCTGCCTGAGCACACCCTGCACTGGGGGATCGAGCCCACAACCTGGGCATGTGCCCTGACCGGGAATTGAACCTCATGGTTCGTAGGTCGAAGCTCAATCACTGTGCCACACCAGTGGGGCAAAAGTATACATTTTAGATATGCAGATGTGCACATACACAAATATCCAGCTATCTAGTTAAGGTTTTAAATCCTTTATGGTACATTCTCCTCAAGGAATAAAAATCAGAGGCTCATATATTGAGTTGTAGATTTAAGATATGCACTTTAACTATATGTAAATTATACTTCAATAAAAAGGAAAAAATAAAGAAAATGCTTTTAATGTTTCACTATTAAAAATTAATAGAGACTCAAAAGCAGTCAGTTACTAATACAGAACCTATTTTATTAATGTGGAAAAAAGGTGCAGATAAATAAAGGGTACACTTAAAATGTAATCTTTTCCTTTGAGCCTGAGAACTATTATCTAATTAGTCTTTAAACATTTTAACCTTGGCATAGTCCTGCAAGTTATACCAAGAGTCTACACTTAAGGACTAAAAAGAGAAATTTCAGTCCATAAGTGAAAGAATTAGAGGGGATCAGAAATAATACATACAGTTTCATATAACTGGCAACAGATCCCCTAACCTCCCAGAAAATGTTCTTTTCACCAGAGAAACTATGTAGACCTAAACCAGTTATCAGCAAATAATTACTTTTTCTCTAAGCCGCAGCAATAAGAATTAACAATGCTGAGTGCAGCAGTACCATTGCATAAAATATGTTACTATAAATTTTAAAAATTTATACCCCCCAGTAACATTTAAATAAAACACACAATTAAAATAGCCTCATACCACAAGGTCATTTCCAAAAGAAAGCCATGTTTCCTATTTCATGGGCCCTGGCATAAAATGGATAGTAATTTTATTGTTTTCATATTTTACACATTATATATAGTAAATTTATTATAGTATATTAATAAATTATAACTTATTGTATAATTGAAAATGAAGATAAAATTATAATGTTCTAATTCATAAAACAGTAAAAAGGCCTTGTACCTGTGCATAATGTAACAGAGCTGGTTTAGGATACTGGAATCCAGACTGAGGAGTGCAAGGTAGAAGATCCCAGGAGGAAACAACACCACTAATGGAAGGTTATAATTTATATATATGTCACACACCTTTTGGAGAGAATATAACATCAGTATATAGATTATCTCCCAGAACCCTCAACCAAGTTCATCCAAAGAATCATTAGTAGAGAATAAGCAATAATATACCATCAAGTTGGGGCGCTCCTGATCCATCAATAGAATAGGTAGCCTCAAGCCTGCTTAAAAATGTACCTCACCAAACACTGACCATTATCATAGAGGATTATATTCAGAAGATCATTAAAATCTTTCTCTTTTTCTAGGGACAGATCTCAGAGTTGGTGAGAAAGGAAGCATTTCTTTCTCCTTAAGTTCCATGAATACTGACTTATCCATATATTAGCTAGCTGTCAACCTAGAAAACAAAGGAATATGCTTCTAAGCAAATTTAATACAAGACAACTAGGTATTGGGGAAGGGAAGAAGCCAGGAAAACAAATAGTGACTACTTCCTGAATAATAGTTCTGTCCAGGTGACATAAACAATATAAGAGCACCAGAATCATAAGTGCTAGGAGAAATAAAGCTGTTGAAAGATGGGAGCAAAGAGCTGAAGAAACAAGAAGGTACTTTCAATTTTTTGCCAAGGGTTGGGACGTATAAAGGATGAGCAAAAAGTGATGCTAGAGACAGACTTCTGTCTAAGGCCAGCATTATTCAGGAGAACTTGGAATTTTCAAAAAAAGCATTTGTTTTTCCATTTTGTTTTATGAAAGTCACTTATTCATGTGAGAATATAATCATTAACTTTAAAATATATAGCTTATTTAACTATGCTAACAAGGTCATAGTCCAACTTAATGATTATAAATAAAATTGAAATAACAGGTGATTAAAGCAGAAAGCCATCACAAAAATCTAAATAGGGTAAATAGGATGTGTACCACCTTCTCATAGAAATCCAAAACAAAGTGCAGCAAGAAAGTACTGTTGCTTTCCAAGCGCAATGCATTAGTGGACAGCCACCCTACATAGTGAATTAGTTCAAACACAGACTGCATGGATCCACTGAAAGTTGTCTCTCTGCAAGAAAACATGACAATCAGATACATATTAGCAAAATTCCTCACAATTTCCAAGCTAAAGCTGAATAAATATAGCAAAAGTTGTTAGGTATTTCAGAAAATGATCTGTGTCCTAATGTATAATTCACTTTTTTTAAACCACAGTGATTAACCATAAAACTACACAGCACTCTAGGAAACCATTAAGATCAATTCATATAATAGCCTCAGCAATCACTCTACTAGTAAATATCAGAGAAATAAAGGATTAAGCTCCAAACAGACTTTAGATAATAACCAAAGTAGTTAATATCTATTGTCCAGGGATCACAGCAGTCAGCAAATTAGTTTCAAAGCACACAAATCAAAACCCAGTTTTGTCTGAATTAAATGCTGTTAAAAATATTTCACTTTAGCCCTAACTGGTTTGGCTCAATGGACAGAGTGTCGGCCTGCAGACTGAAAGGTCCCAGGTTCGATTCCAGTCAAGGGCATGTACCTTGGTTGTGGGCACATCCCCAGTAGGAGGTGTGCAGGAGGCAGCTGATCAATGTTTCTCTCCCATAGATGTTTCTAACTCTCTATTCCTCTCCCTTCCTCTCTGTAAAAAAATCAATAAAATATATTAAAAAATATTTCACTTTAACTGGAATCCAATTCATTCCTAAAAAAGAATTAGTAAAATTTTTGGCATTTTTTCATTCTTTTAGTAAAAAAAAAAAATTTTGCATATTTTACATTCTTCCCAAATCATTGAACTGTATCTCTTTAAATCATGGGTATAATTGGTTCAATTCATCCATCTACTCACTTCTGTCCTTCAATCTACTGTTGAGCAGATTAGGAAAAAATCTAGGAATGTGCTTTTATAGCTTTACCCTCTGATCCAGGGAGCCAACAATGGTTATACACATGGAAAAAGGAATAGTATATAGTCTTTGAGCTTGAGAGATGATAATGACTCTACCATTTCCCACCATCATGATAGTTCATTGCCAGAGAAAGCAAGGAAAGATTAGGAGACCACCCAAATAAGCGGCAATTCAAGTGTCCATCAGTAGATGAGTGGATAAAAATAGTTATGTTACATTTACATAATGAAATATTACGCTGTCATAAAAAGGAAGAAAATGTTACCCTTTGTGACAGCGTAGATGGACCTGGAAAACATTATGCTAAGTGAAATAAGCCAGTCAGAGAAAGGTAAGTACCACATGATTTCACTCATATGTGGAATTTAATGAACAAACTGAACTACCGCGCAAAATAAAGACAGACTCATATATAAAGAGCAGGCAGACAGGTCTGGTGAGGAGGGTGGTATTGGTGGGGTGGGGTGCAGGGCTTGAGCAAAAAATGAAAAACAGAATTCATGGACATGGGCAACAGTGTGGTGATTGCCAGGGAAGGGGAGGGAGGAAAAGGATGGAGGTGGAAGAGGACATAGAGGGAATAAATTGTGATTGGGGGGAAAAACAACAAATAAGCGGGCATCCATATAGTCAGTCAGCCATTTGGAAAACTATTTTAACTATGATTTTTGGCAGCACTTGGTAAATGCAGGTGAAATAAATTTGAACAATGGAGATTGCTTAGAAAAGCATCCTTCAAAGTGTATCTCCACAGGACACTGCTGGCATTTCAGATGAAACAATTTGATGTTAGGGACTATATTCTATTCCCCACCCTCTGCAGCTTGTTTAATATCCCTGGCTCTTATGTACTAATGATGGGAACACCCTCTTTCCAGTCACTGTGCCAACCAACAATGCCCCCCCTGGAGAACATTGCTGAGAATGTTTTCCTACCTTTTGTTCCTCGTGATTCACAACTACAATTTACTCCCTTTTTGATAGTCATATGGCATATGGTCATATGATGGAGACATGGCATTATACCCATACCCCCCATATAGCAGGAATTACTGAAAACTTATAAGAGCTATATTATATAATGACAAGTAGTATTACAACAAGCAAAGTTATCTACATTTTTTAAAATATATATTTGTATTGATTTCAAAGAGGAAAGGAGAGGTATAGAGAAAGAGAAACATCAATGAGAATCATTGATCAGCTGCCTCCTGCACGCCCCCTTCTAGGGATCAAGACCACAACCTGGCATGTGCCCTGACTGGAAATCAAACCAGTGATCTCCTGGTTTATAGGTTGACACTCAATCACTGAGCCACGCCGGCTGGGCATAATCTACATTTACGTCCACTTACTTGTTTTAAGAATTTTAGAAAGCAGAGCTCCTTTTTAAATGCCTTCCCAAAATGTACGACACTAATTTAAAAAGGATCCTAGTACTGGGGAAAGAAAATATAGAAATTGTAAAGTACCGAGATGAGGATGCCTAAGACTTACCCTGCAAGTTGGCCAAAGATTATAGATGCAAACATACTATTCTTAATAGAATTGAGGTGTTCAAAAAGGTTAAGCATTTAAATGAAATTTCTTAATGATAGTGGTTCTCAAACTTTAGCTTGCACCAAAATTGCTATAAACACACAGACTAATGGATCCCTCCCTCCAGGGTTTATGTTAGCAGGTCTAGGGTAGGGCCTGAGAATTTGAATCTCTAACAAGTTGCCAAGTGATGCTGATGGTGCTGGTCCAGGGACCACACTTTGAGAAGCACAGCTTTACTACCCACAAATGCTCTATTTCTTTCCAAAAGTGATACATGATATATTTCCCCAAGCTACTGCCAAGAAGCTTCTCTTTTTTATTCTACTATCAGAATGGGAGATCACTATAAGAATAGGGATATACAAAAAAATAGGTCTGGGCCTATCTTTTAACTAAGCTAATCACCAGCTATTTGCAACTGAAGCTGAGGGACCCTTATCTGATAAAGAATGTGACTGATAATATAGGGAATTTGACACTGATTAGATATTTAAAAATATTAAGAACTATTAATATTTAGGTGTTATACTAGTATCATTTTTTCAACAGTTGAAATGATGTCTGGGTTTTGCTTTAATATGGAGGAGGAAAGAGAGATGTTATAGATGAAAAAAAGTTAACCATGTATTGATTAACTTGAAGCTGGATGATATGTACATGGGGTAACATCATGCTAGTTTCTCTAATTTTGTTTATGTTTGTAATTTCCTTTAATACAAAGTTTTCAAAACAATGTTAAAAATAATGTGGAAGATAACAGAATATAGGAGAAGCCAAAGGTTGTAGGTAGAGTTGTAACAACCTAATTATGCAATTCCTTGAAATTCAGCCTTTTAATTTCACTTTAAGGGTAAAGCACACATTGTTAACAATAACCATCATAATGGAAATTCACATCTATAACCAAAATACATCAGAGAAACAAAAAACAAAACTGTACAACATAATTACAGATTTTCCTAGCCAGCATCAAAATTGACTTCTTATATATAAGAATACATTTTACAAAGTGAGCTAAACTGAATTAAAGCCAAAGTTGCAAGTTTTAATGTCAGCTCCACAATGTTTTGCTATATTAATTCTTGAAAGTCACTTAGATGTTTAGGATTTACTTTCTGATTTACATATTAGAACTTGAAGAATTAACCTTCCTCACAGGATTGTGGGGAAGAAAGAAGAGTGAAAAGTAAATACACACACACACACACACACACACACACACACACACACACACACACACTAGAAGCCCATTGCACGAAGATTCGCGCAACAGGCCTTCCTTCCCCTGGCTCCTGGCACCGGTTTTCCTCCGGCACCCGGGACCCAGACCTTTGGTCCGGCCGCAGCGGAGAAGCCAAGCCTCTTCAGTCGTCACTCCAGCCAGAGCCTTCAGTCTTCGCTCCATGCCTGCGTATGCAAATAAACCTCCATCTTTGTTGGGTTGATTTGCATAGTCGCTCTGACTGGCTGGTTGGCGTAGCGGAGTGACACCAATTTGCATGTCTCTCTTTTATTAGTGTAGATATCTCCTATATAGTAAAAGCCTAATACGCTAAGTGTCCAGTCCAGTCAGCCGTTCAATCAATCAAAGCGTAATATGCTAATGATATGCTAAGGCCGCTCAAATGCTTGCTATGATGTGCACTGACCACCAGGGAGCAGATGCTCCGACCGGTAGGTTAGCTTGCTGCTGAGGTCCGACCAATCAGGACTGAGCGAGATAGCTTGCTGCTGGGGTCCGACCAATCAGGACTGAGCGAGACAGGCCCTCCCTCAGTCCCTCCCTGGCTGGCCAACCTCCAGTATCCCTCCCAGGCCCCAATCGTGTAACCGTGGGGTCCCTCGGCCTGGCCTGCACTCTCTCATAATCCGGAACCCCTTGGGGGATGTTGGAGAGCCGGTTTCGGCCCAATCCCACAGGCCAAGCCAAGGGACCCCAGTGGTGCATGAATTCATGCACTGGGCCTCTAGTATATATATTATATATATAAAAGGCTAATATGCAAAGTGTCCCCTCAGGAGTTCAGCCAGCAGACCAGGAGTTCAATAGCTTGCTATGATGTGCACTGACCACCAGGCGGCAGTGCGGAGCGAAGGAAGGCCCTGGTCAGCAGCTGGGAGCCAGGGAAGGAAGGCCCCAGCCAGCAGCCAGAAGGCCCCAATAGGCCCTGATGGCCGACCAGGCCTAGGGACCCTACCTGTGCATGAATTTCGTGCACCGGGCCTCTAGAGTGTGAGTGTGTGTGTATGTATGTATACACATACATATACATATATTATACACATACATATATATATTTCAGAAAAGTATGACTAAACATTTACAAAAAACAATTCAGTCTCATGCCACACTATTAAAACTCCATATGCAAATATTTTTATACAGATACATCTCTTGTTAAGGGTTGTAAGATAACTCACAGAGAACTGTCCGTCACAGTTTTCAGGTGGATGTCCATAGAAAGCCACAACAGCCAATTCTGCAGTAGCTCTTTCAGGTTCTCAAGAACACTACACTGAGGGAGCAAAATAAAAAATCATTTGTAAAAACATTCAGACATACCATAGTGTTAAAAACTAACCATCTAAACCACAGACTTAGAAGTGGAAGGGACCATGAAGATGACTGCACCCAATTCAGAATCCAATAGTTGCCACTCCAACCTGATCAGTCTCCAGGAGACAGATGAGTGCAAGTACAAGTTTATTTTGCCACTTTCTCTACTGGACTGATCCCAGCTTGTCAGCCCAGGAA